ATTCTTTGATGAACAAAGTTCACAAAGAAGAGTATGTATTAAAAATAGTGGTCGACCGATATATCGGCCGATATTTGGCATTTTTCAAATATCGGCATTGGCCGATAAGTTTTTCTGTTTGGCCGATGTGCTCGAGGCGGGACTTTTATTTTGACGGCGCATCGGATTTTTATTACCGGACAGAAATCTGTCTAATAATCAGAAAGAACTGTTAAACAAAGGAATTAAAATGTATACCAAAAAGTATTATAAAGATTGCTTTCATATTACTAGTAATAGAAAGGCAAACATTATAATACTTTCTCTTTTTCCGTCAGCATTCAGCAAATACGCATTTATATCATTTAAACAAATCTTTGAATGACTAATGAACATTTAATTTCAAAAATCTTGCAAACCTAGTCAAATCCAGTTGTGAGATCTTGTGAAGTGTGCATTTGTATCCTGCATGATCGCGTGTTCTCTGCGTGACGGTCGATCCGTGAGAATTGAATGTGGACAGGAGGAGAGTTCAGCTTCACTGGAGACGCGCGATCGACAAACTTTAAACTCATGATTTTAAATTATGCTGCGCTTTATGCATTTGCCCACTGTCATATTCATGTCATTTTTGCTGTGTGCTGTATGTAAAATATAAGTGAAAGGTGTGTCATCTCTGATACCATCTATTTGAGCGGCGATTACGGAAAGGAATTCTCCGATAGAAATGTTACATTATATCTACCTACAGTTCATTTAGTCATGCGGCCTGTTCAATAAAATTTGTATAATTAGGCCTACTCAAAAGGCTTGAAGTGAAAAAACTATTGTTTGACTTAAAACAAAAAGAAGCATTTATAGCTCGAACACCTCACTGAGAGACCTGTGCCCTGTATGTTGAGAAACTAGGTCTGTTCACCCTCAAGCAGCTTGTGCAGAATGAAGAATGCAGTTTGAGGCTTTATCAACAGTCAGAGGAGTCAGAAGTGATGATCATGCACATACCATTTCAATGTAGGATACAAAGTATGAGCTCAAATGACTCGTTGGCTGACAAACAAACATTAGGAAAATTTGCGGTAGTGATGGAAGGCAGACTTATTAGTCATGATTCAGTTCATATAACCGGTTCAAAACACGATTCAACAATTATATCATGTTCTGATCCCTGACATGCCCAACATGATGTACATGCTCAGTGCCTGTACTGAAATGTTCCAATAAAGCAACATGAAGTCACATATTGCTGTTTATTAATTTTTTTATATTTAAATTTTTTTAGTTCTACTAACGCATGGCTCTTGTCATTTTATGTTCTCCCTAGAAATGTTACATTATATCTACCTACAGTTCATTTAGTCATGCGGCCTGTTCAATAAAATTTGTATAATTAGGCCTACTCAAAAGGCTTGAAGTGAAAAAAATATTGTTTGACTTAAAACAAAAAGAAGCATTTATAGCTCTAACACCTCACTGAGAGACCTGTGCCCTGTATGTTGAGAATCTAGGTCTGTTCACCCTCAAGCAGCTTGTGCAGAATGAAGAATGCAGTTTGAGGCTTTATCAACAGTCAGAGGAGTCAGAAGTGATGATCATGCACATACCATTTCAATGTAGGATACAAAGTATGAGCTCAAATGACTCGTTGGCTGACAAACAAACATTAGGAAAATTTGCGGTAGTGATGGAAGGCAGACTTATTAGTCATGATTCAGTTCATATAACCGGTTCAAAACACGATTCAACAATTATATCATGTTCTGATCCCTGACATGCCCAACATGATGTACATGTTCAGTGCCTGTACTGAAATGTTCCAATAAAGCAACATGAAGTCACATATTGCTGTTTATTTATTTTTTTAGTTCTACTAACGCATGGCTCTTGTCATTTTATGTTCTGTTTGTTTCAGTCATGAGTCTATCAGAACCTAAACATAATTTTCAATGAATGAGTTTGAGAACTGAGAACCACCTCAGACTGATTCATGAGTGAATCGTTCAGTCGATTCGTGAACCACTAGTTCAAACTAATTATTGTTTGGACAGACCTGACCAACCCATTTCAAAGATCCGACTCCAAATAATGATTCGTTCACAAATCAGACATGCCTAGTCTTCAGGTGCCGATTGCATTAACTGCTCAGACTAGTCTTAAAACTTAGTCTTCTATTTTTTTTTCTCCAAGACTGGTCATAACTTTGTAAAGTCAGTTACATAAAAGGTATTAATAATCTGAATCCAAAAAGTAGACTGATTACCACTTGGTTAACTCCTAGTTGGTCATACTAGGCTATGTTCATGCAACTGGCCCCAAGTAGTTTATCAGAAACGTTATTTTACAGGCACAGCATATATAAGGCTGCAACGAGTCATAGTCATTACTCTAAAGTAATTATGTTCAAAAAGTAATGTATCTAAAAGAGTCTGTGTTCAACGAACTGCATGATCTTGGTGTATAACATCAAACAAAGAAAAATATAAGAAAAATATTTACTATTGAGCTGATTGCTGTTATACTAACGTTAACTAGTAAATTGCTCACACTCATGAGCAAATAGTTCAGTCGATTCATTAACGAATTGCTTTTTTTTGTACCGATTCATTGCAAAAATCCGACTCAATAGAATAATTCTTTCACAATCGCACATCTCTAATCTTCAGTAGTTGATCAGATAGCTTATCTTAAACAATTTCCCATTGTGATTTAGTATTGCATAGTAACGAGGCCTCAACAAATCGTAACAATTTAACAGTCATTATGCAAATCAAAAGTAGCATATCTAAAAAGTTGAGTCTGTAGTAAAACAATTACGTAATCTAAATATACAATATAAAACGAAGAAAGTTTACCCCTTAGCTAATTGCTGTTATACTAAGCGGTAAATCGCTAAATATTTGTTTTAGGCAGCTACTGCCTTGACAACATATCAAACCATGACAGAGCTGCCTATGAAAACTGAATAAAAACTTGAAATCTATACTCGCCTGCCAACTGTTTGATTGGCGAGCTGTCTCATCCGATTAAACTGTTTCTTCATTTTAGTGGCGTCGGCCTCAAAACCCAGTTTTTAAGACGTGGAGAGTGTGTTCGTCGATGCCTCATGAGCAGAAAGATCCTTGAGCACGATGCTGAAGTCGTGTAAATAATTACATTAAAACAGCCCGGTGTACGGTTAGCTCAAGCAGCTAGAAAACTAGCCGATCGGGAGAGAAAAAAACAGTAACGTTAGTGTGGGAAAAGTTAGCTCCGGTGAATAGCGGTGCTCGTTTCATGTCATTCCGTGTTGCAACTGCTCTCATAAGCGGGAGTGAGTGGTGTTTCCACGTAACGTTACGCCAGCCCGTGACATCTACGGGAGAGAGTGGAAATGCATGGCAGCGGGCTGGTCACTGCATTCGTGTCGGCCACTGTCTGTGTTTCGCAGCTCCAGGCTGATCTGATCATGATGACATTAATGTGGACACAGGGGATGTCTCGAAACAGTGCGCTGACTTTACAGGCAGCATTATATGGAGCGTCTGTGATCTCCAAATATGCTGTCTGTGTAGGCAGCCCCTGAGGTTTTGAGACGAAGACTGCGTAGAGTACAGGTCCACTCATATATTACCTACTGTGTGATGACCATACACTCCCTGTATGGACTGTAGGAATTTGACAAATGTGTCCTTTATTTTGTGTTTACAGCATAAATAATTATTTATTCCGTTTTAGTTAATAAAATAATGTCCCTTTCCTTTATTTTCCATTCGCCTCATACTTGTTTGCGTCACACTGTTTATTTTTATATATTGTCTATTTTAATACTTGAAGTAGGCTACTGTATGTGCTTTGGAAATATTATAAAAGCTGAAAACAGTGCTAATAAAATTAAATACAAAATCTCGAACTCTTCGCCATTTATGACTAGCTCATCGGGGCTTGGCAGCTACTCGCACTGATCCGATCCAAATCCACAACTTTCATTTTCTAATAACGCGGTCAACTTTCTCTCATTTGATCTGTGCATGCGTTTAAATGGCAGATTTAAGTTTTTAGAGCACTCAGGTCCTTAACCTCTAATATCTATAATAAATCTGAAACTAACGGGACATTTTCCTGTTACCATTTACGTGAGTGATGCGGGGATTTAACATTGCAGTTAAGAATAATATAAAACGACGGGGTATTTTTTAAAAACACTCTTTTGCGATTTGCAGAATCATAAACGTAAAAATCTGCACAGCAACCGATGTAATTGTTACACATGCGCAGTAAAGTCTCGTCGCCACCTCGAAATGTATTATGGGACAGCTCCGTCAGCGGAAACAGATGTAAACATGTGATTGTCAAACGGAGCGCGTTTGGTCCAGGGTTGCTTCTGTTATGCGGCCGTGAAAATCAATATGCTTTATTCAAATAAATGTGCCTGAAAAAAATATTTCAAGAATCTGTTGATAACCTTGCCAATGAAGTATTGAATCTTCGACTGTTGCGGTTTTCGAAATCCGATCAGTTTAGTTAGCTAACATTTACTTAGCATTTGTGTTCATACGAATACAGCATGTGTATGTAACGCAGTGTTTATCAGCATTGCTTCAAATCTGAGTGTTCATGGCATCCAAACAGCCATTTACAGATTCTGACATTGCTGATGAAGCAGTCAGAGCAACTTGCGACGATGCATCGACATGCAAAAGGTAAAATAAATGCATAAGTGCAAAAATAAAACGATTACACACGATTTTCCGTGTTTCTAATCCGTCAGCGGAAACAGATGTAAACATGTGATTGTCAAACGGAGCGCGTTTGGTCCAGGGTTGCTTCTGTTATGCGGCCGTGAAAATCAATATGCTTTATTCAAATAAATGTGCCTGAAAATAATATTTCAAGAATCTGTTGATAACCTTGCCAATGAAGTATTGAATCTTCGACTGTTGCGGTTTTCGAAATCCGATCAGTTTAGTTAGCTAACATTTACTTAGCATTTGTGTTCATACGAATACAGCATGTGTATGTAACGCAGTGTTTATCAGCATTGCTTCAAATCTGAGTGTTCATGGCATCCAAACAGCCATTTACAGATTCTGACATTGCTGATGAAGCAGTCAGAGCAACTTGCGACGATGCATCGATATGCAAAAGGTAGCACGGCGTACAGTGATCAATAATACAATTATTAAACCTGATTGACGCGTGTTTCTAAATACTGTGCTTCTCTGTTGACATTGTACCGCAATGCTATTGAGCATCCTGTGCATCTCCAAAATGGGGGGGAAAGTCGTGGTTCTGCACAATGTTACTGATATGATTATCTGTAATACTTTAAAATATTTCATCATATACAGATTATAAAATATTTGTATGTTCAAGAACAACGCTGTCGTTATTCTATTTGTTATTGACCTATAATAATCATTTAATATTTCATATAACTCTGATTTTTATTTTGTTTGATAGGTTTGCTACCAGTAAAGGTTACTGGACTGACCTCTACGTCCAGTATTTTGTGAGGCAAGCAGGTGAACGTAAAGCACCTGAGATCAACAGAGGTAAGATTGATTGTTTAAATATCTCCCCCTGCAGGTTAATGTTTGCAGCTGCGTTTAATCAACCCCCTATTGTTTTAATTGTGCTGTAGGTTATTATGGACGTGTCAAAGGAATGAATCTTCTTATTGATGCTTTTCTCAAGAAGACACAATGTGACTGCCAGGTGGTCAATCTTGGGGCAGGACTGGATACTACTTTTTGGAGATATTCAAAAAGAAGACAGTAATAATAATTATATTAGTTATATATCTTTTTAATTATGAAAACGATTCTCCTTATATTCTTTTTTTCTAAGTGCATGTACTATCTAAATTTTTAGGTTGAAAACATTATGCCAAAAAAGTTCTTTGAAGTCGACTTCCCAATGATTGTTGCAAGAAAAATACACCACATCAAGTAAGGCGTTTTTACTGTTATAATATTATTATTGTTATTATTTTCAGTAAATTGCTATTTGACATTAACATGATTTTGGATGCTTAGCATGTACTTTGTCATATTCCTGTAGAGGGAGACAGTATCTCAAATGAGAAGTTCTCTAGGACCCTCCATCTAAGTATATCCACCCTCCAAAGCAATAGTTGGATTGTATATCTGTCATCTATTTTGTATTGTATTAAATTTGATCTGTCCTAAATTTGCTCTTTATCAGTACCCCACCTGAAATAATACTGTTAAATACCTGTTATGCATTTGAATTAAACTTGGGTGGAGGACGTTTTGTCTTGGGTGATTAGAATATTTTTTAAATTGCTACATAACCACAGTCAGTGGAAGTTGCTGTATGTGTGGCAAGGCAACATACACAAGACTGCATTTACATTTCGCAGTGCTTTTTATTCACAAATGGATTACAATAGAGAAACATAAGCAATTTGTCACAGAGCCAACAATATTCATAGTCTACAATGCCAGGCTTATTAGAAAGCTAAACTAGGAAACAAGCTAGGGCAACGGTGAAACGCAAAGAAAAGGAAGATTTTGTATTTGTGTAAGTGCCATGGTTTAAGGGTGTCTATGTAAGTGACAGAATAGAAATACACGAGCTGTGTACAGAGGGAATTACGTAATACAATACAATCTGACCCTTGGTGCATTAGATAACAGAATACCAAAGTGTCATCTGCAAACAAATGATACTAGAACTTTTCTCACAACCTTTTTTGCAGTTGACTCTGTGTTGGATAAAGTCAGTTCCCCTCAAGTTCACACAAAAAGTGTCCACATTTTTTTAGTAATATATTTATTATGTGTATATTTTTGAGATTGCTATACAATATAGTACAGAGGGATGTTATAGAATTTAGTAGTCAAACTTGTATTTTTTATGTGGACTTTCTACAAGTTGTGTGATGATAAAACATGAATGCCTTTGAAGATAGAAATCTGATAACTGCATAATGATCATGAGATAAAAATAATGTTTTCCATAAAACATTTGAGTAAATGATTAACTATAAGGGTGCTCCAGTCAGGATTTTTTGGGCGGCTTGTGATCACAGGATGCAATATTTGCCGATAAGATCACTGATACCGATCTTTTTGAAGCCTTCTTTTTATCATGTAGAATTATTTATAGTCATGCTCCAGTCAAGATTTTTACAGACGCATCTATGTTTCCATCCAAAGATGCGAATTTAACTTATGCGCAAAACTGGAATATCGCATAAAACATTTGTGAATAAAGCACCATTTCCATCCAACGAGTCAAAGAGAACAAAATCTGCCGCGTCCCTATAAACTGGCACTAAATTAAGAAAACTAGGAGAAGCCACTGAATATAATAATTTTCATATGTAATCAATTACTTTTTTTAATGTTTGCTTTTTTAGAGAGCGGACGTAACACAATAATGCGGTCATTGCTTTTAGAGGTGGATGCCTGCTGTTTGTGAACGCAGTCATGTAAGACAGTAATTATACAGAAATACTTTGATGACAGGCTTTCCTCAGGCATTTCAGAATGACCAAAACAACATATAGATGCTGTGAATGGGATCGGTCCGCTGGTTAGTCAATTGATCCCGTCTCATATCGCAAAGTCACATGACTTTTTCAATGCGCAGGGTGGAATTTATTCAGAATTTAATGTGTTTCCATCGTAGTTTATGCACATTTTTTCTTATCGGATAAAACGTTTATCCTACTCAATTGTGCGCATAAAAAGTTTTTAGAATTTATGCGCATCTTGGCATTTCCATCCAGCGGTTTTTTATGCGATAATCCAAAATGCGCATAAAAATAGGTGGATGGAAACATAGCTAATAATGATATTACAAGAGCAATGGCATTTACCTCAGTCCGTAAAGAACTGTGCCATCTGGATGGAGCCGAATCATTCGGTTCTTCACCGTCACACCGTGCAGGAAAGACTTCTTGTCATTCAGGAACGAGGCTGCTATTGGCTGCCTTGACAACCATTCACAACATTTCTTGCATTACCGCAGACAGCAGAAGAGGAAAAATACAGAAATACAGTAATTATTATGCAAGTTGATATTCTGATTATATTTTTTTCCAAGCACATTTTACCAATTCCAAACGACATCAATCTTATTAACTACTATTAATCTTGTATTTAATCACTTGTAATCGATATACTATTGTTCATGAAGGCTGGAAGTGAAAAACGCCTTATATTCAGGTGTGTATAATTAAGCAGGTTATCTTCTACAGATAAAATGTCAAGATGGACTAAAAATGAACTCCCAAAACTTACTGCCAGATTCTGGAAGATAAATTCTTCAAACAGTGGTACAAGAGGATGTGGTGCTGGTCCTTCAAGAGTCACTCTCA